CTTGTGGTACGCCTGAAGTTACTAAGAATGTCTCCGAACGATACCCATTGATAGTCACCACTTGTTTACGATAACTTATATACGATGCTAGCCACTGCCATAATGGACCATCTACACCCACCTCAGCAAGTCTCTCCATCAAGATAGAATGATCAATCTTGTCGAAAGCCTTACTGAAGTCGGTATAAATAACATCCACCTGCAGTTTCTCATCTATTGCGTGAGAGGCATATTCTATAAAACTCACCAAATTCGTCTCTACAGATCTTTTAGGGAAAAATCCATGCTGATGTTCCGTAATGATATTTTTTGTAATGTTTATGATAGCATCATAAATCAGCTTTTCAAAAATTTTTGACAAAATACAAAGTTTAGTGATAGGTCGATAATTTTCCACAAGATGTCTATCTCCTCCTTTATGAATAGGCAATATTTCACCTTCTTTCCATCTCGTTGGAAAGACTCTTTGAGTTAATGATAGTTTGAAAATTAGGTGAAGTGGTAAACATAAGCTAGCGGAACAGTTTTTTATAAATACAGGAGGTATGCCGTCAGGGCCTACTGATTTTTTAATTTCTAAGGACACTATTTGTTGATATATTTTTTCAATGGATATTAAGGTAACATCAATAGGACTAGCATCCTTGTTTATATAAAAATGTTTAGATTTAACATATACACTTGCAAAGAAATCAGCAAAGGCATTACACACCCCACTTCCGGTTTTAACTTCATAGTTTGAATGATTTATAGAACTAGGTATAGAGACATGACATTTTTTCTTACTTGAAACGTATTTCCAAAAGTGTCGGCTGTCGTTCAATATATTGTTTCCCATCATTATTATGTATTCATCCAGGTTTTCCTTAATTAAGATTTTTGATTTGGCTCTAAGGTCACAGAATATCTTATATGAGTATGGATCATTAAAACGTTTGTATAGTCTATGATTTTTTCTCGTAACTGTTTGTATTGTTTCAAGTTTAAAGTATATTGGGTATTTTGCTCGAATTTTATATGTTGGTGTAAATTTGTGAATAGTTTCATTGAGTATGTTATAGAATATGGCTACAGCTTCATCTACAGATTTAGTACTAAATAATTTTTCCCATTCTAACATATATCTAAAAGAGTATTATTTATGGAAGTATAGTCAGCTTTATTAAAGTTGTAAAGGCATCGGCTCAGGTGCATTAATTGTTTAAGTAAAACATGCTTAAAACAAAATGTAATTGCAGGATGGTGATTATCCTCAGGAACCAATATGTTAACCGAATTCGAAATATTATATATTGAACATTCGTTACTAAGTATCAAGTCTAATAAACGGTTATTTAAATTGTAAATTTTATTAAATTGCATTAACTGTAGATACGACAATATGTCAAGTAAGGCACTCGTTTTCTCTTCAACATTAAGTGGCTCCATAAAATATTCATTAACTGCTGGTTGCCAATTGACACTTGGAAGATTAAAGTCACCAACCAACAACACCGTATTTTGTCGAAAAAAACCTTCATTCTGGTATAATTTGCTTATAACTGAGGCATATGAAATGCTATCCTTAGGTGGTAAATATATGCAACTTATAAATAATTTGGTAACGTTGGTATGTTCGATTGATACCCAAAGATCTTCAGCATCAGATTCGAGTTCACAACAGCGTTTTGAGTTGAAGACATTTTTTACCGCGATTAACACACCACCACCATCACTTTTTTGTGAACATGAACTCTCACGATCTCTTCTAAATACTGTGTAATCCGCTCCAAATAATTCGCTGCTGCATACACCATCTTTGAGCCACGTCTCTGTCAGGCATATTATGTCATAATCACTTGCACGAACATTATTAAAGAACTCCGTTGTTTTAGATCGTAGTCCTCTTGTATTTTGGTAGTAGATGATTAGGTCCTGACATTTCTTGGTAACCGAACTAAAAAGTAGAAAATAATTTTTAATTACAAAGAGTTTATATTACAGCCGTAGATGGTCGAACAATCAATCATAATTAATGACCTCAAAATAAAATTATAATAAAATTTAAGTTATTAACAGAATAACTCATATCATCTAGGGGCAAAACACGAGAAAACTATAAAAATCGCTTGACCTTCGTTCTTTGTCGTTTCATAGGCTGCTGATCATTTTCGGAAAATTGGACGTTATATTATTTAGAAGCTTCTGATCTCGGTAACAATGGGAAGATCAAATGATAAAGGTCCGATGCATACTGTGATCATAATTATGCAATCGCTGGCGTTGCGTGCACGGCGCGATGCTGCATCGTCGTGGAAGCTGCCGACTGTGCAATGGGTAAGAAACTCCAACTGGTCTGCGGCGATGTCGTCTCTGATTCACAGGAGAAATACTCAAATATTTCATCAATATTTGGATATTATTTGTATGTACGACTTTAGCGTTCTGCGACGCTTTTGTAAATGATGACTTGACTGTTTTTATATCTACACATAATATATTTTCTGAAATTTTAGATCCTCAAATGTACCCCAACCATTTCCTTCAGTTTGTTGTCTTCTTTCTTTGAATATTTCGTTAAATAGACTGACGCAGTACTTATGACTCATTGAATATACATGGACTGACAAACCGACATAAATGAGAAACACGGGCTTGGATGATTAAGATATCTTTAAGCAACAGAAAACTTGTGAACCGAAGTTAGAATTATTGTCGCCCGGTTTTGAAATTTGATCTAGAGGCGGCGAAAATAAAATCGCTGGAACATAGTGTTACAACTTTCCAAAGATTCCTGTTGATTTTCAGACATTGGTTGGAGGGGATGAAAATTGTAGGTTGGAAAGTGTATACAGAAAATGGTTGTGAATTGTTGCATATTTGTCAGTGAAATACCTTCTATTGTTAACATGCTGCTGATCTCAGTGATACTGTGCATCTGTCAGACATAATTAGTCACACATGTCTTCCTCAACAGAAATATGATAGGTTTGCTTTACATAGTTTGACTCACCATACCTAAGTCGGCCTACCTAACCACGATTCGATTTCGCCTTTTGAAACGATTTGACTAATCCCTTTTTTTGAAACCTCCAACAAAGGAGTACGAAGTATAGAGTCAATCTACTTGACGCCATTTTCTCATATGTGTATATGGTAGGAATTGCTATGTTGTTACTGCAACTCGGGCATGTCTAAATAGTTCAATTCGTATAACGTCTTAACTAAAATAACTGTCTTTATTTCGATTTTAAATTGAAGCCTTTGGTGCAAAAAGTTTAAACCCTGACATTTTTTATATGTGGTGCTATGGTTACTTTTATTATTCAAGGTTATTTAAGACAGATATAAAAGTATCTTGAATAGGCAGTTTTGTTAAAAAATATGTTTTTATCATCAGAAATGTTAAAAAGATTGGTGAAAATCTGACTTGACACCTTTTCAAAAAACGGTTATTTGCTTGGACAGGAAAATGAAAACAGTAAAAATGTGCAATTCAATGATGTTATTTATAAAAAGTAAAAATATAAGTAAAAAGTCTTTTTTTATTATTCTGAACTCACAAAGGTAATAACAAATGATCCACAGACTAACTAATCGTCTCCTCTTCTTAAGTTTTCATAAAATCTGGTATGAAAGGAATCTGTTCCTGAATATTGTCAAACTTGTTGGTCCCAATAGGTCGGCTTCTATCGACGTTCACTAATAAAGGTTCATTTTGTCCTCTCCTATCGAGATAAAAAATTTCTCGTTAGTTGTAGTATTTTTTCTATCGACGAGTCCAAGTTTTCTTGGAAGCTCTTTTATATCAACAAATTTGTCCGCCATTCTTGTAATATTGAAAGGTGTTTTTTTTTCTGGCTTCTGCCATTGTCTGTCTGTCTATTGTATAAATTGATTGGTGCCTTCTGATAGACTTTTCAACAGCTGCAAAGTCTCTATCAGAGTCCACTTCAGGGAACTTATGGTCAATTTTTCTGAACACTCCTGAATTTATTAGATAGTGCCATAGACAGACAATATAAACATTTTTATTTTGGCCTCCTGCCGAATCACTCCATGCAATTAGATGATCGGGAGCTATGGCTTGGTCCTTGATATTCTCCAAAAAGGCCATAAGTGAGCTGCCAATCTCTTCAGGACCGCGACTCCCTTGTACTTCGGTCCAAACGTGGAAAAAGCCTTTACCATTTTGTTGTTGTGTTGATATTAAATGTATTCCTAGATTGTAGAGCCATACTTGTCGAAAATAGAAGGCTTTGCTTGTAGACATTTTTGGCAGGGGAAGCGTTTTTTGTAAATCAAATGTGAGGTATATGATTTGTTCGTTTGCTTTTGCATTTTCTCGATCAGATTTTTGTACGTCAAAGGCTTTTTTATACTTTGCAACATGTTCCTCGTTTGATCCTACATCGCAAACCATACATGTATCAGTCTTTGGAGAACCAAATCCAAAATTAAAATCATTGACAAAAATTTGTCTTTATGTAAAGGTAGACACTGGGACGATATTTTCGTTTGCACACTCTTCTACATACAAAGCATACATTTTATTGATGGATAGCCATGGAGAAAGGTAGAGTCGGTTCGGATTTTTGTTTCGAGAATAATGAGATACTTCAGAAGGAAATGATTTGATGTGTCCATGAACGAAGTTGCGCTTTTCCTCGGAAGTTTTTCTGGGTCTGCTATTATGGTGGCCTCTTTCATCTCGCTTAGGGGCAGATCTACCACTAGATACTTGATCTCTTATTAAATCTAGCTTTTTACGTCCAACATCTAATATAGACATAACTGCTTCCTTACACACACGCCGACTATCTCCTCCTACTTTGAAAGAATACCTGAATGACTTCTGGCGATGCCTATGAAGTACAGAGGGATGCTTAACATTGTATGCTTCCATTATTCCAAACAGATAAGCATTTTTTGCATTTTGATCTAATGAATAATACTCTTTAAATAGACGCACCGTTTCTTCGTTTGAAAAACTGCTGTCACACTTTAAACGACATTTTTCTTTACATAAACGTTTTCCAATACAAGGATTTTTTGCCTGAATATGTTTTATATGCCTTTCCTTTATTTTTGTTCTCTTTATTTTCATAACGTTTCCATGTTTTTGGAAGAGATTTTCGTTTTCTGGACTTTTTCTGTTTATTCTCATCCTCAAGTGGACTTTCATTATTTGGTACCATTTCTGTTATGCCTAGCTGCAGCACATCATGTCCAGGAGCTTCCTTGTTTGCCTGAGTCTGGATTCTAGCTTTTTTTTATGAAAAGCGGTTCATTGTCTGAATCGGTTTCGGAATCACCTAAAAATATAAGTGATTAATCTTTACAGCCGACATATCTAGGTTGTAAAACTTTGAAATCCTTGTGCGAGTATTTAAAATTCTTTATACTGGTTCATGCAGACAATTTTTGAAGCATTTCTGAGACAGAACACCATTATCATCACTTTCGTCTCCTAAAAATGTGTTAAACAGTTTTTAGTAAAACCTGTAAAAACATATCGATCACCTTAAAAAAGTGATAGAAATATTTGGGCGATAAAATATTACAAAAATTAAGTTACCTGGTAAATAATCCGACCCTGAGCTTTTATATGGCTCCTCTGCGTCATCTGACAAATAATCATCGAGGGGACTTTATGAAAGACAAGCAAATAATATTCTCCTAGTTCTGCCGCTGATCTGATTATTTGTAAACTAAAATACAAAAACTGCAATAAATAAAGAGCAAATAATTTTGTGGTATGTATGCTTTGCAATTTAGATGGCTCATTTTTATCTTTTAAACAAAAACTGAATTCATTGTGCTACATAATCTCAGTCCAATAAAAGACTAAAACTTTACATACCTTATCCATTTGAAAAACAGTCCAAATATTGCAGGAAATAGAAAAATCAAACCTCTCACGAAACGTGTTCAAACGACAATAAATTGGAATTTGAGTGCAACAAGGTATTAACTCAGGAGTTAACATCTTTTTACCTATAACACAAAAGTTAACACCTTTTTAAGTTTACAGATTGAAGCTTTTGATATACTTAACACTTTTATGAATCTCTGTATCCAAGAACTGAGAGACATCTATGGTCAGATAGATGAACTATCACAAAAAGCACGCTTTTAACACCTTTTTGCACTAAAAATCTCAAAAAACGAAAAAACTGAGTTAACACCTTTTTGCACCAAATTCTTCAATTGTTACTTAATGTATATTATGTGCAATTATTTTGTATTTATTTTCTTTTGCAGATCCCTAAAGAAGGCAATAAATTATTCCGAAATGCCGGCAACTTTCCAACAATCCAATCAATTGCGAGAAATTTGGTGGTATTTATAGGTCGCATCGTGAACGATTATTTCTAAGTATGAAGGAAGTCTGGATGGTGCTGCTTTCATACGGTTAAGGTTCGGTTCCACCTCTAGAATTTTACAAAGACCATATCCGGTAATCGGAAAATAAAAGATGAAAACATCCCAGACAAATGCCTTGATCAAAATTCAATTCGATACGCTCGCCTAGCGTAGAAGCATTTGTTATGTAAATCCACGTAGTAGTAATTCGATATATAACACGAACAGAACAGATGATCATTCGCCTATAAGCGAAAAATTTATATATTTGCTCTGGCGGGTCGTAATAAAGATGAAAAATAAGAACGATAAAGTCTGACAGGAGTGCTTTTCGGAATCGCATAAAGGGTGGCAATGCATGGGAAATGATTGTTGTTGGGTATAAATCAGGATAGTGTGTAGGATGGGGCGGGATATTGATGTAATCTGTCAAGAATAACGGAGTGTAACGTAACGCATTACGAATAACAAAAAATATCTATTGGAAAATGTAAATGTTTATAGTAGCAGATACCCTATTCTGAAGGCACAGTGATACAGAAAATGGCGTCAAGTCAACTTATTGTACGCTCTGGTAACTTTATTGTTATATTACTGGCATGTTTATAGGCATAGATAAGGCCGTAGAGTAGAACGAATATCAGTGAAAAAGTATTGCTGATCTGGCATTAAATAAAATTAGAATTCGCACGGTGTGTAGAGTATCTAAATAAAGTGTCTTATCCTCTGGTAACATTTCTACTGACCGGCTGTGGAAAATCTAACATAATGAATATATTTATCGAAAAGGAATTGTAAGCTTACTTTGTTATTTTTCTAATAATAAGGTAACAAAATCCACGAAATATCTTCATATTCGCAAAAGATTGATGAACGTTTATTCGTTATTCCATATCTAAATAATTAATGTTATCACCGATCTGAGTATCTTTATTCAAAAAATTATATTGCCGTGGTAGTCGCAATTGTTACATTACATCGTCAGGGAGCCCCTTCTCAGTTAAGGTAACAAATACATCGTGGATGCTCGCCCGGCTAGCGCACTTTGTACATACAGGGTGGCGCATCGAAAACGAAACAGACTCATTTACTGGCAGCTCAGTTTTTTTTAAAAACGCTCAGACCCGTCGATTTTGTTTTCGAGGGGGACACAAGTTTGGCAAAAAATCACATTAGCACGTGCAGCCCTCTAAGCGGGGGTGACACCACCCCCAAAATCTTAATTGGAAAGGGGGGTCGAGTGATACCTTATTTTAAAGATCTTTCAATTCACTTTATAATGATATAAAATTAATGTACATACTTCAGTTCAGTGGTTTTGAAGATTTTTCGATTTAAAGCTTAAATAAAACTAATACATCATCATTAGTGGAGATCAATACATTTGGCAGCAAAGTAATTTAAAAATGAAGAATGAACTGACCCGTTAGGCAAGTAAATGTTGAACATGGCCACCATGATTCTCCGATCAAAATCGTCTTCATTAAGTTCTTGTACCAGGTAAATTTTATACGGATGAAAACTATGGGCCTTTAGAATCCGTTGGACAGTACGTCGACTAACACCACACACAGTCTCCAGTTTGCGGGTACATAACGTAGGATCTACATAAACTTGCCCTAAAACCGCCACGTCTATTGCTTCGTTCCTTATGTTGCGTTTTTTATTGGCGACTGACCCAGTTTCCCGAAATTTAGCTACAAGTTCTAGAACATATTATCGATGCACGTTACTGTTCTCATGTCGCTAATTAAATATATCTGCTGTTCTATTAGCGCACTGATTATTTTCGAAAAATATTTCGATAATTTCAACCTTTCTGTTGTGGAATATACCATGGTTAATTTATGTAATATAGCATTACATGTTATTTTAGCAACAAAGTTTGGTCAAATCAATCGCAAACTATGTACTAAATTCCTAAATAAGTACGAGATATTTCCTTATCTTTCTTCAAGAAATAACTTTTTTGCCAGAAAAAAAAACGCTCCAATAGCTATTTTCAACAACAAAAGGATAAACAAACCATGGGCGTAGTGAAGAAAAGCATTTACTTATTAAGTAAATTATTTTAGTCAAATTTCTTCTGAAAGTAGTACAAACTAATCTAATGTTGTACCTACCTATTAAAGTCTACTTTAAGCTTTAAATCAATAAATCTTTAAAACTACTGAACTGAACTGAACTGAAGCTCATGTATTATAAAGGGAATTGAAAGACCTTTAGAATAAGGTATCACTCGACCACCCTTTCCATTTAAGATTTTAGGGTTGGTGTCACCCCCGCCCAAGGGGCTGCACGTGTTAACGTGATTTTTTACCAAACTTGTGTCCCCCTCGAAAACAAAATCGACAGGTCTGAGCGTTTTTCAAAAAAAAACTGAGCTGCCAGTAAATGCGTCTGTTTCGTTTTCGATGCGCCACCCTGTATAAAATCATCATTGGGAATCTTAAGGGCACGTATAAGGGGGGATATAGGTCTGAAGTATGCCTGATAGGCGCGTATATTTAATGAGGCAAGAAATTTATAAATATACAACTGCCAAAGATTTTTTTTACCCCTGAAACATTTTCAAAAATGATTAGGAGTCTTTTAAACGAAAATAGAGCGATTTTTTATTTCGTTTTTTGCATTTGGATTCGCAGCCACTGGACCGATGTTCAAAAACTACAATGCTTTTTCGTCCTTGGCACAGTAATAACCTTGTGTATTAAAATCTCAGCGGTACTTTACAAGTTATAGGCCGGCCAAGGATTAGCGGACAGACAGTCAGATCGACAGAATGACTGAAATGTGTGACATGTTTTTTGTGATATACGGTGAGGTTCAAATTTGGCTGACGTCCTAATGTTCACGAAACAGAAGCCTGCAATATGTTTATTAGAAAGAGTGTGCCGATATCATCCGTAACCTCGTACTTCTATCTGTTTCTAACACACGTTTTGCACGCACATCTCATTTTCGAAACTTTTCGCGAGTACAATACTTCATCGCCAGTGGCGTGGGAAGTCAAGTGTAGACAAATAGATGGATTACCGATCAGGTAATATAGGTAAAACTGTAAACAACGTTACATTTATAAAAGTCTTCGGGTGTGGTTTTGTATTGTTGTTTCTAGTGTACAGATTTGGAAAAATACTAATAATAATAATAATAATAATAATGTTTATTGTCACAAAACACAGGTAAATATCAAATATTGTGCACAATAAACATAAAACACCCAAAAAAAGTTTGCACTTGTGTTTGGGTTTGTTCAAAATAAAAACTAATATTACAGTCAGTGTATGAAAAAAAAAACGTCAACACTATAATTTGGTGAATTATTATGGTAATGTCAGGAAAAATATCCAGACAATTATAACTACAGTAAAAGTATGGATGTTAGTCTAAGTAAAATATTATTGATTTTGATAATGATTTTTCAAATCTACAATTTCGTGGATGGAGTAACTTGTTGTAAAATCCATTTTTTAGTTCTTTTCCAAATGATTTATTTGATCTAATTACTTTTAATGACTCTGGTATGAAGTTATAGAATTTTGGTCCCAAGAAAAACAGAGATCGTTGTGTAATGGTTTTTGTTGTTTGTGGAATACACGTTGAATTTTGATTGAATCTTGTTGGGTAGTTATGAATTGTACGATTCAAGTATTTCGAATATTTGAAATAACGTTTTAGACCAGAATAAAAATTTGTCTGCAATCTAATAGCTGAGCCTCCACATATAGAAAATCACTTGAATAAGTAATCTCCCTATGCACGATCAATTTTAGAATTAATTTTTGGATTACATCAACCTTTTTGTAATTATTATTCATAACTCCCCCCCAAGCCAAAATTCCGTAAAGTAATAGAGGATAAACAAGAGCATAATATAGATTATATAGATATTTCTTATCTAGAATATCTCTGAAGTACCTGCATTTTGGAATAATACATCTCAGTCTCTTCACAAGGTATCCCATTTTAAGTGTCAAAAATCACGCCTAAGTATTTTATTTTATCGGCTGACTGAATCTCTTTGAGACCACTGCTTGTATGAACTTCAAGTTTTTTAAATTGTGGTGAGAGCCTGTCGTTACAAAAAAATGCTATATAGTGTGTGTTGTTGTAATTAATTGTCAATGTTATTGCCGAAAAGAAATTTATAAATGTTTTGAAATCATGTTCGATTGTGGTTTTTAGTGTATGCGACTGGTTGCTTTCATAGAGAATAGCTGTATCATCCGCAAAACCGATAACTTTACCTGTACTACTTATTTTGAACAAATCGTTGATAAATAGATTAAATAAAATGGGTCCTAATACTGAGCCTTGAGGTACACCGTATGATAGAATATGGGGCTCACTGAATGTGTTATTAATTTTGACGGACTGTGTTCGATTTGGCAAATAATTTTCTATAAGTTTGTGTTATTCCCCAGAAACCTAAGTTTTCTAAAGTTTTTAAAAGCGATTCATGAGTAATAGAGTCGAATGCCTTTGCCAAGTCAACAAAAACAG